GAAAAGTTCCCAACGTTAGCTTGTACGCTAAGCCTTTTATCGAGCGTAGAAGGGTTGAAATTTCGGTTTTTCGCGGTTATCTTCTTTCCTATCAATTTTACGGCCAAAGTAGGTCCATAATAAAAGAAAGATAATAAAATTCTCTATAAAAAAGGTAGTATGCAATTACAAAGAAATACGAACTCGAAGAGGAAGGACATACAATTGACGACAATCCGATATTAAATGTTATTTGATGATAATTTAGCACTTTCATTTTATACTTTGTATAATAAATTTTAATGTTTCATACCTTTTTAAAGATAACTGTGTTTATGTATAATTTTACTGATATTATTTAATTTTACTGATATTAAATAAAAATCGAATATCATACAAAATTTTTTGTTACTTCTTACTTTTCTTGACTGACTAACTTATTCACTATCAGACATGTAGTTTTTATTCCGTTCATACGACAATAAAATGTAGATTGCTGTATTCTTTTTATCTACTATCGCGTTACTCTTCAATTACAATGTGATTTTCGTCAACATTCAAATCATGTTTAAAAAACCAGTTCTCTCCGATCACTGAAGTCAAGAAACATTGGGCATGATTAGTACTTGGATGGATGACCGCCTGGGAACATCATGTAACGTTGACAATTTTTTACACTTTTTTATTTTGTATAACAGAATAATAGAATAATACAAGTAAAATGTAGCATATACTTTTCTTCGACGTTTAAAATACCATCCTACAATACCTCGCGAATATCTTATATTCGCGAGATGAACACCAAAAATGCTGCTTATCTCCTAAATAAGTGTTTACCAATTTTCTGTAAAAAATAATGTTACATTTATTGCATGCAACTACACTATTCACCTACTTTTTGAAGTGTAATACTTACCTATTTGGCATATTATCAACTTAAATCTCCTATTGCATTCATTATTTATAATTCAGATGAAATATAACTCTCAAATTTGATATAATTTGACAATTTTTCGAAACAATTTCGATAATTTGTCGAAATTTTTGCATTTATACATCCTTTTTTGTTCTAAAGTGACTGGACTAAAACGAAAAAATCGAATAGTTTCGAAATGTGCAAACAAAAATCTATCGATTAAGAATTTCGAACCCATTTGCTCCATGTTGGGGGGCTAGTATAAAGTTAGTCCCCCCAAAATTGTTTTTTAAATAACTTTTAAATTAAAGGTGTGCAAACGAAAATTAAAAATGTGCATAAATGTGCAAACGATGAGCAATCGAATGAGCTATATAAATTTTATTTTTTTAATGTTGCGGGACTAACTTCACGACGGTCCGTTGCATTTCTTTTTTCAATCTTTTCAGAGAGATTAATCCTTAACTGCAGTTATGAATCTATGTTATACCTAAGTTCTTACAGTGTCATACATTTGGAGTACATATGGAGGAAAAGAATAGTCTTTTGAGTCCAATAAAAATATTTTTGATGAACCTATGCAACATAAACAAACTTGATCTCAACAAAAATATCAAAATGTCGGATAAAAAATCGTCATGGATCCAAATGATTCGTTACAGTCGAAGGTTAAAACAAAAGTACAGACCTAAACTCACAAAATTCTTTGAAGAATTTTACTCTAAAGAGAGAAAATATTTTGTGTTACTTTTGAAAAAGAATTTTTAATCTTAAAGAGTAAGATTTCATTCTTTAAAATGGGATTCCATTTCAAAGAATTTAATGAGTTACTTATATCGCATAATACATAAAGCATAAGAGAATCAATCAATCAGAATCCTTTATTCTTTTTTCATGCGGGAAGAAAAGATTGATTAGTTGACTTTCTTACATTCATACACGGAAAGAATTATATCTTAAAATTTACCCTGAAAATATGGTAATCATGGGACAACATTATATTTCGAAGAATTTTTATGTAAATCTCTCACATTCATTAATAAAACTACAATAAAATATAAAATAAGTATGATTAATTTTACTGAAGTGCATGGTAAAAATCTTTAAATTTGTTGTATTGTACCATAATTACTATATTTTCAGGGTAAATTTTAAGAAATCCTTCTCTCCGTGTACATTATGCGTTACGCTTCGATTCTTGAAATTTGCATTATTCGTAAAATCTGTGACAATCCGTATCCCGCAATAACTTTACTCTCTAAAACTTTTAGAATAAATTGCCACTCTGTGAAAGGTTGAAAATTGAGCCACTCTTTTTCAAGGATCGCTCAATTTTCACTCGTTGGAGTGCGACTCCACTCCGAAGAGAGTTTAGAGAGTGGACAAATAACGGATCAGTTGCCATTCCCGCCTCTTGTCCTCCGTTACAATTTCGTGACCACTGGCCGCGATCGTTCCGCCGTTAAATTTAGTCGCGGGATTATTTTGAGATTACTTCCGCGTGCCCGCGATGGACATGTCGTGGCCGAAAAGAGAAAGAGAGAGATAGAGAGAGAGAGAGAGAGAAAGAGAAAGAGAAAGGGTTCACCGTCTCTCACGTTAAGCCGCGCGCGAGCCGCGCGGCCCGTCGACCCAGGCAAGGCCACCGTACGTATACAGCTGAAGCCGTCGTTTATCGATCTCTCGCGATGCCGCCGAGGGCGGTCACCGCCGTCGCCACCACCGCCGCGGCCGCCGCCGCCGCCGCCGCCTCCACCGCCGCTATCAGTACCGCCAACACCCCCCGCTACCACCCGCTTCCGTCGCCGTCGAAATACAGCTTTCGCGCGATCATTCGCGAAGGTCGTGAAAACGCCTCCCGAAGGACGGCCGGGATGCACTCTCGCTCTCCCGACCCGGCCGCCGCCGCTGCAATCGACTGGCGTGTAAACAGAACGCCGACGGCCGGTGCAGCGGTGCAGCGGGAAACCCATTGGCACACTGCACTGTGGCGACTGGGCGCGCTTATCGATCGTGACGACGACGCCTCGTGCTCCGATAATCGTAACACGTCGGACGCGCGCGGCGCTAAACCCTTTAAACGCGGATTAACTCGCGCGTCCGAGAAGAAGACTGCGCAGGGTTCTATAACTTTCCCCGATTCTCAGACAGAATTTCACGGGATTTTTCCTGACTCCTGATAAATACTTAGAAATTTTCTGTATTTTCCTTCTGACTTGAAAACGGTTAAATATTTACACAACAAACAATTATTGTATAATAAATTACTATTCATATTGCCGACGCTGCCTGTACCTTTAATCGTTGAGTTGGTAATATTCTAAAAAAAACTCTACGTACTTTTCCTTGATTTCCAGTTTTATCAAACCCTGGACGTAATAATATAATATATACGAACTGGAGAAAAGAGCTGAGAGGAAGAGTCAAGCTTGATTTATGAGAACAATATGAACAGCAACGAAAGATTTCTCTTTGAGTAAATCTAATTAATGAAAATAAATAAAACTTCTTTTACTCGACTTCGTTAAATTTCCATCTTTACTGTAAAACTTTGAACAACTAAAACATCTTCGAGGAATATTTCAAGAAATAAATTACCTGCAATAGTTGATTAAAAGTTTTTAAAAATTAGTTTATATATTGGTGTTGTAAAATATAATTTAAATATACTAAAGAAGACCCAATCCGAGGACCGAAATGTTTGAAACTTAATTGAATAAAACATCTTATGACACTTTATTGATTCAGTTTTCTTAGAGCCTGATTTCCATTATCTTTTAGAAAATTTTTAATCAAACTTAAACAGAAGACTTTCGTTAATTGATAGTTTCTTGATTCTAAACTTGGCAAAAAAGAAAAAGCAGCTGTGTGAAAGTATGAAAGATGAGAAATATAAAGAAATGAGATATCAAATGTTTGTTTAATATTTTTTTAATACTTCGAGAAGCAAGTTACTTGCAACAATTAATCACAAGTTCTTAAAACTTTCTAATCAAACTTGAAAAGATCCTTTCATCGATTGACCGATCGTTTCTTGCAATTCTAATCTTGACATTCACGGAATCTTAACTTATGAAATTATAACAATCACAACACTGACATAATTATGCAAAAACTTAATTTATCCGATTTGAAAGACATAGGCAAAATTACAGCGAAAGAGCGTATTCCACAAAACACCCTGCCAAGTTTAGCATCAAGAATTCACTCGCCGTGTCACCGTGCAGTTCTCTGGCGTGCGGCAGCAACAGAAGGGTTAACCAACTTAACGAAGCCTTCGCCTTGCATACGCGCCGTGTCGTCAGCGACGAAAATAAGCAACACGAAACGTGCAACGTCCGAGCGAACGAGGAGTTGGTGGCCAGCGCGAGATTTGGCAGCGCGCGAGAAGCCGAAGTGACGCGCGGAGTCCGCGCGAGTTTTGAAGCCGTCCACTCGTCTCGCCACGCCTCGCCATGCCACGCTCGCGCGCGCGGACCAACAACAAATCGCGTTCGCTGCACCGAGAGGAAGAGAAGCGAGCGAGCGGCGGTCTTCTCGAATTTCGGGAGCGCGGGCGAACGTAAAGAACGCGCGCCCTTTTTCCTGAAGGCTCTCTCTCTCTCTCTGCTGCCGTCGGCAGTGGCGACGGCGATTTCTACACCATTGCGCTTTTCCCACACGTATTACACACAACACGCATCCACTTTGCCCTCCGATCTCGAGCCCAGAGACACCTGAGACCCTCGATGAGAATTCCGTCACGCGAAACCGACCGTCGATCCCCCGAAGTATGGTCGGCGCCCCTGACGCTGTCGCGCCGCACGAGAACGCGGAAAGTAAACGTCACGCACTGGCCGATGCACTCGGGAAAAGAGAAAGAGAGAGAGAGAGAGAGAGGAGATGAGAATTCGTGACGCACCGGACGCGCGACCCGGTCACCAGTGCGAGAGCGAAGACTCCGAGTGAAAAGATTGAGGGAAAGAGGAGAAGAAAGAAGAGGCACAGTGAAGGAATGGGTAAACGAGGAGAAAGGTAAGAATAAGAGGAAAGAGGGAGAGAGTAAACTGTAGGTACATACGGTATGTCGGAGAAAGAGAGAGAGAGGAGAGAGCGGTGATGATACCTTTCGCGCGTACTCGAGCGACCCGATTCACCGACTGACTGACTCAATGACTGACTGACTGACTGACTGACTCGGAGATGCACGGCGCTAAAGGCGACTGAGTGCCAGCCGGCCGGTCTGGCTCTCGTTGCATGTGAGCGTGCAGTCTCGGGACGCGAGAGGGGGAGAGATTGGGACGGGAGGAGAGCGGTCAGGAGAGCAGAGGGGCGAGGCGACGACGAGAGGACGCGAGGAGGAGTCGGCGAACGAGCGAGCTGACGAGGAGGGGGGTGCGAGAGAGGGACCGGGGGGGGGGGGG